TGCGTATGCCAGAAAAGAGGCTAGATGTACAAAAGCATAAAAATGAAGATTCCTAAGAGACAGAATAGTTCCCATCCACTTTCAAGAGAAGAGAGAATTACTCATCTTGTTTTGAGGCATTTCTGAAGCTCAGTTGAGGTTACCTTCAGCATGAAGTTTAATAAAGGGAGCTGGAGGCCACAAAATAGTTGTGGCCCATCAGCAATACCACTTCTACTTTTGCTCCCTGCTATTAAACATTTCATTCACCCAACTCCTCTTTCCACAAATAACTTTCTAATTTCCATGTAGATTTACCCATGTAGAAAGAACATGCTGACACTGATGGTTCTGGCTTCTGTGACAAAGAGGCTCTTGATTAAAACCTGATTTCTTCTACAGTATGCCTGCCTGGAGAGATCATGCTGATTCTCCTGTGTGTGTTGGTCTCTTATGTCTAGAAGTTTGTCTAGAGTGAGTTGACTTCTCATGGAATAATGGTCTCTGCACAAGGAGCAGATAAGTCAAAGGGCCTGTAGGAAGGGCTAAGTGCAGCCTCCCTTCCTGAAAATATACTGCCACCCCACTTCCAGTTTAGACAGACTCATTCTTATGATATAATATTTATTTTTATTAATTCATTCAAATTCAAAATGGAATAGAACTGCAAAGCATTATGTTTAAAAAACAATACACTCTTCACATAGTAAATAACTTGCACTGATTTCAGAAATCCATTCTGAAATCGTTCTAAGTCAAAACAATTTCCCTCTCACACAGATGTATGTTTGTGTGTGTGTGTATATGTATGTGTATATTGGTGGACAGCCACATTCACAAATACTCTTATGCCACTGGTCACACTATTTCAAAGAAACCCTATCCTTGATAAAGCACTTGACTCCACATTAATTTACTTTGTAAAATTCTGGAATATGAAGTTATTTCTCAAAGAAAAACATTTTATAAATATTTACACCTAATTGCACATTTTAATTCTATAAAAACAATCTCAACATATTACCTAATAAAAATAAAAGATTTCAAGCCAGATTTCTTTTAAAAAAGATAGATAAAAAATAAAAATTTTGTTATGAATTTATCAGAAAGTATTGTATACTGCCATATAGCATACATAAATCTAAGATGCATTTCCTCTGGATTAAATTTATCCTCCAATTATCCCAATTTATTATATCTACATATATTTCCAGTATAATTAGGCTTGATTACTGTAAACAGGTCAAAGTCCTCACATTAGACTTCATTTACCTGGTACAGGCTGTGCTCCAAACCTTGAAAACGTTTTTAGACAAAATTCTTCTGCAATAAGCTTTGATTAAAAGGGGAAAAAAATTAGAAAAGATGTTAAATTTTCAAAATAAAAAATCTACCCATTAATCAGAATATTTTCTTTTTTCAATCATAATTATGCTGTCAAATAAACTGTACTAATTAAAACCAAGTAATCCATTTAGCAAATCCCTCTCACACTAACTCCTTTCCAATCTTACCAATTTATTTTTACTACTTGTCCAGACAGGCTTTCTTCTCATATTACTTTAGTGGACCACACGCCTACCTACCACTTCTGGCCTGTTCTGTACCTCAGCAATTTAACACAACCATCTATCTCTCTCATTTACTTCAAAACTACTAAAAAATAACTTCATTATCAAAAGAAGCTCTCTCAGAGTACCTCTCTGTTATTTTAACTTTACTCTGATCCTTTCAGTATCTCCGATGAGTTCACACTCATAACTGCAAACATGTTAATGGGTAAATACTTGAATATTCTTACATCACAAGTATCTCTTTTTAACATTACTATAAACAATCCATTACTTATTCCCCGAGCATTTGAGAACCAAAAAATCTTTTACATTTCCTGAAAGTAACTTTCTCTCCTTAAACTCTATTTTCATTCCTAAATGCAAAACCACGACACCAACAAGAATTAACTCAGGTTGAGCTTGTTTTTTTCTTACTGGGTAAGGAAAGAGTAGGCAATGTGTTTTCTCTTTTTTTCCAGAGAACTGAGGCCTAGTGAGAGAATATTCCTACAGTAACAGTGGACCAGATACTCAATAGGTAAAAAACCAGGACCTGTGATGATTTTTATTCCCATTAAGGAGACTCCTACAGCAGTTTTCAAAATTTCGCACGAGCAATATCAGCATCACCTAGAATTCATTAAATATGCAAACTGTCAGGCTCCAGTTCAGAATTAGTGAAATAGATTGTGGTGGTGGGATCCAATGATGCCCTCCGGGTGATTCTGATATGTGCTGAAGTTTGAGAACCATGGCACTAAGGAACACTTGTAAGTGAAAGTTTGGTTCAAAGGCAGATCAGAACAATTATGCGAATATGTTTTCTGAACACATGAATTTTTTTCCATTTTTTTTCTTGGAAGAAAACAACTGGCTTATGATCTTCAGCTTGTCCTGAAATAGAATACTTCTTTCATTATTTAAGTATAAATCTTTCTTTCCCCCTGTGTAAATGCTCATGTGAACTGAGAGATTGGGAGATGGGGTGTGTGGGATCCAAGAGGACCCTAAAATCTCTATGTTGTGCTGTCCAACACAGTAGCCACTAGTCACATGTGGCTCTTTGAATTAAAATTTAAAATAAATAATATATGTAGATATTTGGCTCCTCATTCACACCAGCCACATTTTAAGTGCTAACATCACATGGCAAGTGGATAATGGAGCCTGGGTAATGGAGACACAGAACATTTTCATCATCAGAGTGTTCTATTGGACAGCACCTATGTTCCTAATCAGTTAGAACTTATCCACTATTTGTCAAGTCACATCTAACAAAGAAATTGCCAGCCTACACAAGACTGAAAACTAGGCTTTATCAACCTTAAGTGACAACACTGAGAGAATTTAGATTTTAAAAATAAAAACTGTTCTTATGTTGTGATAAAGCTCATAAATTGTTTCAAAGCTATACCCTTAAAAAATGTATCATAAGGCTTGGTGCCTGTAGCTCAGCGGCTAAGGCACCCACCACATACATCGGAGCTGGTGGGTTCGAATCCAGCCCGGGCCTGCCAAACAGCAATGACAACTACAACAACAAGATAGCTGAGTGTTGTGGTGGGCACCTGTAGTCCCAGCTACTTGGGAGGCTGAGGTAAGAGAATCGTTTAAGCCCAAGAGTTTGAGGTTGCTGTGACACCACGGCACTCTTCCCAGGGCGAGAGTTTGAGACTGTCTCAAACAAACAAACAAACAAACAAAAATTTATCCTAATCTTTCTGACTTAAATACTGAACAAATGACGTATGATAGAAAATAAAACTGAAGAACAAAAAACAAAAACAAAGGTTTTCATGAAGAATGAAATCTAAGTGGTGCTTAAACAGCAACAAGAAGGATCAATGTGTGGCTGGGTGCACTGGTTCACACCTATAATCCTAGCACTCTGGGAGGCCAAGGTGGGTAGATTGCTTGAGCTCAGGAGTTTGAGATCAGCCTGAGCAAGAGCGAGACCCTATCTCTAAAAATAGCCAGGTATTGTAGTGGGCACCTATAGTCCCAGCTAATTGGGGAGGCTGAGGCAGGAGGATCACTTGAGCCTAAGGCTATGATACCACAGCACTCGACCGAGGGTGACCAACTAACACTTTGTCGCAAAAAAAAAAAAAAAAAAAGGAGGAGGCTCGGTGCTTGTGGCTCAAGTGGCTAGGGTGCCAGCCATATACACCTAAGGTGGTGGGTTCGAATCCAGCCCGGGCCCTCCAAACAACAATGACAGCTGCAACCAAAAAAGAAAAAAAAAAGAAGGATCTATACACATACTACACATGTAACACCTAATACTCCGCTTGTTAATAACCTTCACAAACCCCCTTTTCTTTCCATATTATAAGTGTTATATATTTCAGGCTAAAGTATTTTCTCTTTCATTGTCAGCTAATTGAATTCCAGTCCTCCAGCCTCGAGACTGTCTTTACTAACTGCTGGCATGCGGGGGAAGAAATCTCTGCAAGACTAAATAAAATCATTGTTTCTTCCTTAGTGGCTGCCAAAAAACCAATAGTACACTGCACAATGTCCTCACAAATGTTATTTACAACAAAGGCATCTTCTAAGACACCCATATTTCAGAGGTGGTTGTTATGTCCTAGACAAGCAGCTTTTAACCTTTAAATTTTAATTTGCTTTCTTGCTTACAAAAACATTCTCCTGGCAGTAAACAGTCAAATCCACATCTCTGTTTTCTGAAGAGTATTTGCTCACATGACTGTTCTGTTAAACCAGAAAGATACACATAGCATACAAAAGTACAGAATAAAACTATGATTTTGCTAAGTATCTTCTTTATAAAAGAGTTTAATAGTGATTATTCAAATCAAAGAAGACCACACTAAACATGGAAAGATAAATAATTCCATCTTCAGGTGATCAGATTTTTAAAATTAATTTTATTTATTTATTTATTTTTTGCCATTAAAATAAATATTTATTATTTATTTAATAAATAAATAATATTTATTCCACCTGGAGGGCAGGTGGGGAAAGATTCCTGAATAGGGAGAAATCCACCTTTTTTTTTTTCCTGAGACAGAGTGTCACTATGTTGCCCTCAGTAGAGTGCTGTTCTGTTACAGCTCACAGCAACCTCCAACTCTTGGGCTTAAGCGATTTTCTTGCCTTAGCCTCCCAAGTAGCTGGGACTACAAGCATTAGCCACAACACCCAGCTATTTATTTTTGCAGTTATCATTGTTGTTTAGCAGGTCTGGGCCGGATTCAAACCCACTTGCCTTAGTGTATGTGGCCAGCACCCTAACCACCGAGTTAACAGGTGCTGAGCCCATATTTTTATAAATAAAATAAAATGCCAATTGATTTGATACAGATTGCTTCATAAATCCTGTCAAATTAAAACTTAATTTAGCTCAATGAATATTTATTATGCACATATATGTGAGCACTAGAGAGAATATCATGAGTCAACAATCCAGTATACATACACATAAATGATTTCCATTCATTTCCTATCAAATAGAATTATAATCATATAAATTATATTGATAATATATTTGTATAACAAACTGATGTTGACAACATTTAATATAGTGACTATTTTGAGTATTTATGTGCTAGATATAAAGCATTATATGTGCACTATCACTGTTAATTCTCCTAACAACCTTCGGATATGAAGACAGTTATAATCCCATTGCTCACAGGTGAAGAAAGTGAAACACAAGAAAGGTTTAACAATTTTATAGTTAGAAACCCAAAGAACACAGAAATGATGCCCAACTTGAAAGAAAATAGGAAGAAAAGTCATTTAAGTATGGAAAGGGCCAGGTGACGTCTGTGGCTCAAAGGAGCAGGGCACTGGCCCCATATGCCGGAGGTGAGTGGGTTTAAACCCAGCCCTGGCCAAAAACTGCCAAAAAAAAAAAAAAAAAATGGAAAGGGCCTGTAATCCCAGCACTTGGGAGGCCGAGGCATGTGGATTGCCTGATCTCACAAATTCCAGACCAGCCTGAGAGAGAGTGAGACTCCATCTCTAAATACTGCCAGATGTTGAGGCAAGCACCTATAGCCCCAGCTACTTGGGAGGCTATAGGATCACTTGAGCCCAAGAGTTTGAGGTTGCTGTGAGATATGATGCTGTGGCACTCTACCAAGGGTAACAAAGTGAGATTGTCTCAAAAAAAAAAAAAAAAGGAAAAGAAAAAGAATGGAAGGTGAATAGATACCATTGTTGTGGAAAAAGGCACACCACTCCCCAGGTTCTGATGCACTCTCCTTAAAAAGGGATGTCATGTCCTAGTTAAGCAACATAACCCTACCATCTAATTGTAAAGGAAAACAACATACCTGAGGTGACAGGAACTTTTCAATACGTTTGGCTATAAAACCTTTCTCCAATATGGAGTTGACTGATGGTCTATCCCTAGGATTTCTTTTAAATAACTGAGAGAGCAAACTGCGGAGATCATAAGAATAATGCAAAGACACAGGTGGAAAAGATCCAGATATTATCTTCAGTACCAGGTTCTTCATACTGCCAGCTTCAAACTAAAATTCAGAAAATAAACCAACATATGTAAACTGAAACTGGGAATATCAAATAAGAAGTAGTTCTTTTCCTATCAATATAGAAGAGAAATACAATCCTCTTCCAAACTTTTTCTTAAAATATCAGACTAATATGAGGCTACACACAACTAGGTTACATTGTTTCCATCTGTAAGGTAAAGTCCAAGTTATAGTTGTCTCTCCACCCAGGAAGTATGCCAACTACCCATGCACTATTACCTTAGGTGGAAACTTTCCCTCCCAACTCTTCCAAATAATTTAATTGGAGTATGTTTTCTAGAGAAAAGTTTACTTGGTTATAAGTATTTCAAAGGCCTTACTATCCCTCTAAAAAACAAAATGTTACAACTTGCTGCAAGAGTAGTTTTTACTTATTTAAAATATGAAATATATGTATTAATTAAAGGTTTTTATAAACCATGGCCATAATCAAGAAAAGATTATGCATTAAAAGTAATAAAATTATAGCCAAAGAACCACGGGGAGGAAAAAAAAAACAACCTGGTGTTTTTCATTTAAAACCTGCTTTCCTGTCTCGGCGCCTGTGGCTCAAGTGGCTAAGGCGCCAGCCACGGACACCCAAGGTGGCGGGTTCGAATCCAGCCCAGGCCCACCAAACAACAATGACGGCTGCAACCAAAAAATAGCCGGGCGTTGTGATGGGCACCTGTGGTCCCAGCTACTTGGGAGGCTGAGGCAGGAGACTCACTTGAGTCCAGGAGTTGGAGGTTGCTATGAGCTGTGATACCACAGCACTCTACCCAGGGGGACAACTTGAGGCTCTGTCTCAAAAAAGAAAAAAAAACCTGCTTCCTGTGCCTCTGTTCTAATGACCACAACAAGAAATTAACTTCAGAACTAAAAGTACTTTAAAATGTAATAAATAAAACTACTAATTACTTTCCTTTTAGACAGTGCTCATTATTATTTCTGTGTTTATGATTTTCCCAAAAGCTATGGACTCTCAGCAATGTAAAATATACCCAAAAGGAATATGTTTTATTAACAGGAATATGTATTTTAGGATTAAATACAATATAAACTCTAATTGATATAAAAAGAAAAGCGGTAGGGCAGTGGAAAACCTAAAGATTTTATTTTGAAAGGAGGCAAAATTAAGTCTTTGATACTTTACCTAAAATAGTATGGAATAGTTGTACAATGTTGATGTTTTCTTAATATATATCTCTCTCTTAAGAAAATAAAATGAACTATAAATTAGGCATCAATGATTATTAGAAAGAGTTTTATTAAATGTTGGGCTCTCCTAAATGTCACTCCATTTTAAAAATCTGAGTAAACTCAATCTTATAGACATGTCTGTGCACCTATATGGACATAGGTCTCTATCCCTTTACTACAATGAACTTTGATTTATCTCTCAACTGATATGCTCTTTATAAATAAAGACTGGTAAATTACTTAATTTCGTATGTCTTAAAACACATATTACTTAAGAGTAAACAATTCCAAAACACAGAAGCAATGGTGAAAGAACAATGCAGATGAAAAGATTTTTTAAAAAAACAACAACAAAAACCCCACTGGTTTAAACCATTATGACTATGTCACACAAAAAACGACCAATTCCTTTAATTACATATCTAGTAACCACCATCCCACATCACTTTAGCAGCCTGTGCTTTTTTCCTTAGACAAAGATAAAAATCTAAGGCAAAAGAGAAGAGTATGCAACCTTTAAAAAGAATAAAGAAAAATATTTATTTTCTTTATTCCCCAAATACTCCCCAAATATTATCAATCAATAAAAGCAGTCTATAAAATAAAATATTCCCCAAATAATATCAAGCAATAAAAGCAGCCTATAAGTATAATCAAACTTTTGAAGAGGAAAAAGTCAAATTCATTTTATAAATTAATCTAGAATAAAACCTAGAAGGAAACAACAAAATATTATACGCAGTTATTACTGATAGAAAGAATTGCTTTTGAAATTTATCCATTTCTTCATTTTTAAAATGTATTCTCTGAAGCTGTGTATAATTAAAATACATTACTGTTTAATCACTGGAGGAAACGTGTTAATCACTTTCTATTTCAAAATCCTTTTTTTAAATGATTGAATCTACTTAGGACAAGAACTCTCCCTTTCTGATATATATTATTTCAAAAAGATCTCCAAAGTAAGCATTTTAAATATTCTAAGTTATTCAGTATTTAAATTAATAAAATCTTTCAATGAGTATGTTGAACAAAGTTCTTTAAATAACTTCAATTTCAAACTCAAATAACCTAGGTGTTTTCAGAGAATTTGCATTTGAAACTAATAAAATTTGCTAGGATCAAATATCTAAATCATGTAACTAAATTTAATACTAAAAAGAGAGCAAATTTTATTTCTGTCATTAGAAATAATTTTCTGGGAAAAATATGAAATATATTAATAAAATATTATACAAGCAGATATTATATTAAGAGAAATCAATTTACACATCTTAGCAAAGATGAGAAATTTTAGAATTAATTAGAGAAGAGTTTCTAGTATAAGAGGGTCATCTACAAGACGATATAATTTAAAGAATAGAAACATTAATTTGACATAATTTTAAGAATATTTCATAACTTTCTACTCACTGCATGTTTAAGGGTACACATCTCATAAAGGACACACCCCAGAGCCCAAATGTCACTAGAGGAGACAAAAATGAGAAATATCCTCTAAGTATCAGGAAGTACTTAAAAATTTTTTCATTTAGAAAAACAAAGAGCAAGAAAATGTTTTAGAAAAATATGTGCTACATAAAACATTTACTTTAAAACTCAAAATTTCAATCATAACCAAATGACAGAAGCAGATTGGAAAAACAGTTGCCCATGCAATTGTTTGTTTCATTAAAGAAATTTAATGTTTATATTTAATATTTAAATATAAAAAAGTCATATACATTATCTTTATTTTGCAAAAAGTCAAAGTGCTTT